CACACTTACAGGATTTAGTGTTGATGGTTTCTTATAAATTGTCATAAACTGTTATCTATCGGCAGCGCATTATAAAAAGCCAATTTACAATGATGATTGAACTCCGACACATAAAATACTTTTTTGCGTGCTCGCGCGTCGAAAATAGTATTATGTATTTTAACGTGGGATTTACGATTTTCACGTATGTGTGCGTGTGTGTGTGTGTAATTCAAACACCTACATTTATTGTGGGGGTGATACAGGTCATACCATATTACTTAATAAACGAAGCTTGTAAAATATCCATATATTAACTTCACTTTAACGCACAGCTTCCCTTTAAAGCAATTGATTTCTCTTACACCATTCAGCAATAATCTTGTTTTTAAAAATTTATTTATTTTCTAGAAAAATCAAAAAGCAATTTTGGTATAATTATTTCTGGTTTCAAATCTTGAGTGTATATCTACATACTTGACATTCAATTTTTTCGATTAATTTTAAAAGTTAATGAGATTTCTTGCTGATTTTCAACGATACAAAAGTAAGAAAATGAAAGTCACAATAGCTGAATATACATTTGATTTCATTTATTCAATTTATTTCCTTCAAAGAACAGTAAAACACTATGCAACCTGTGGGGGAGAATTAGAATCTGGGCACATTTTCTTGTGCTACACAATCTCTTCCTAGCCCATTTCCCATACTTAGCTGAATGATGAATAAAATTGCCAACAAAGCCAGACAAGAAATATATTCAAACTAGACATTTTATCTAACAAATTGTAGAAAACTTACGTGCATCGGTAAACAAACTACGGATTTCTTTTTTGTGGCGTTATTAACAAAAGAGCAACCCATGCCCCAGGCGCTACTCCTACCGTAACCAAGACAAGAGCAGCTCAATAAAACGCAGAAAATAAGTGTACTTGGCAACTAAAGTTGTGCATCAATTTTAATTGTTTGCAATATTTGAAAATGTGTTGTCGTGTGTGGATTTTTGACGTAAGTTGTTGATACTGAGAACTGATATGATTCCTACAACGCTTGTTTTCTAAATATACGTATTGCATAATGTTCTCACTCCTAATCAAGCCAGTTTTGTAAAAAAAATACAGTTTCGTACATAAGTAGGCAAGGCGATGGTAAGATTCCAAGCTCGATGAAGAGAGACTCGTATGAATCACGTAATTGGCATTATTATTTCTACATTTTTCTACAATTTAGAAGTCTGTGTACTGTAGGATGTGCTTCGCCAGCATATTGTGTCGTATCCAATGCGAGACTTCTATCGCAAACTATACGCAACGAGTTGCATGAAGGCTGAATTTGAAAGAAATCTAATTTGAGAGACCCAAAAAGTGTTACCTTAAAATCAACCAATTGTGTTTTATTAATTTTCAATGGCCATGTAATTGCCTGTTTGAAGCGCAAAACTAAACAAACATTTTTTAATTTACTATACATTTGTTATTGCGAAACAATTTAAAACATATTAAGTCATACTATTTATTATTATCTTTTGCAAAGAACATTCGTGTCATGAGCCAATATGACTGTTCTTCCGTTTAACATATTTTAGCATGTTATTAATCTAATAACATATTATTAGCACAAATTATAACACGTTTTCACATAACACTATTTCCACGTATTTGTCGTAAATTATTTTTGATGCATTGAAAGTACAAAATCTTTTATAAGTTGTAATTTTTATTAAAGCTTTTCAGAAAATTGAAAGTGTTTAACCATGCAACCTTTTTTGAGACGAGATACACCACCTTGTAAGCATCGTGGTACTTGTTACACCAACGAGTGACAACGTGGGCAACGATTCCACCCTCTGCCCGTCCCAGGGCGTGCCAGGGAGCAACAAGGGCCACCGCGAAAGTGCTCCGCGCGCTGATTAATCGCCGGTGATCGCGGAGCGCGCGAAGGCTCTCGGCGGACGAACGTTAAGGGAGCGTCGCTTTCGCTGTCAGTCGACTTTATCTATTTTCCTTCTCATCTTTTCTAGGGCGTTATAGAATTGAAGGCCTGTTTCTTTACTCTTTGATAGAAATAATAAATATTTATGAAATAATTTACTAAGGTATTTATGAAGTAAATAACTTATTGCCAACGATATTGGGATTAAGAATATCCTAAAATACCATTCTGATTATGTTATGTAATACAAACTATAATACGTTATTATTATGTGCTCAATACTTTTAATTCTGCTATCAATAAAAATGTATTAGCATCAACAAACTGAACACATGTGAAGGAATAATATCCTGCATAACCTCAACTGACTGTCTAAGGTTCGAATAAAGTGGTGGTTGACAGTTCTTTCCCGCGTTAGGAACATATCTCTTTTTTAGTAAATATATAGAAGTACTAATTTTAATTTTAAAGAATGTAAATATTACTATTGATTGTTTATTTTTTATCGAATAATTATGTTAGTGAAGATAGCTTTTTCTTTATTTCTGACCCAAAGATGAGATGATTTCGCACAACAGACTAAAAAGGAAAGCCCGAATTCCTATCATATCGTGTCACCGCACTGAATTGTCGATGAATCGAATAAGTCAGTAAGCAATCCCTAGGGCCCGGATTCTGATGCCATGCCATCTTTAAATTACCTTGCGCGTTGTTACCTTGTACACGAGTCCGAACAATTAAGCCTCGAATATTCTAGAAATGTTCACTTACTAGGTCTTTGCTTCTCCGTGTCTTTAGAGGGGAGGGAACCCCCCCCCCCGATGCATCGACGAAACAATTTAGAAGTCGCATATTATTGTAGAAGGCAACCAGCAGGCGCATGTGCAACCCGCACAACACATTATGCTGCAAATCACAGTATGCATAACTCGAAAACGACGCTTCAAACCACAGTTCTGTGTCCATCACGGGACGCGAACTACATTTTTCTCCCGCAATCGTCTAAATGATATCTCTTTTTGAACATTCTACTATTACATATTTTAGATCTCTCCCTCTCCAGCACTGGATGTCAAAAAAGTTCAAATTGGTTTCAGTTTTAAACTTTTTCGCTGTTGCAGCAATTATTTTCATAAGTGTGATATATTGATTACTGTGAATATTTTCGAAACCTGAAATACTTAAGGTTCAAGTAATTTTGTGGGATATACGAATTGTGAAATTATTTTGACTGAATTTCTCATGAGTAGCAATTTGCGAAGAAAATAGCATTACAGAATAAGCAGCTAATAGTTAGAAAGTAATAGTAGATGAATTTGTAAAGGAAGAGATAGTGGATACCGTTCTTTACTATGAACTTCATTAGCAGTTTTCCAATCATTCACCTGCAGAGACGTGAAGAAATGTCTGTGTGCTTCCGTACAACCCTTCACTTCCTTCCTCGCATTAAGCTCAAAGGAGAGGATCACAGGCAGTGATAGAATTTGTCTTTTTCTAAACTACCGTGTTATAGTATGATTGTTTGATGAGAACTATCAACATTCAGACCTGCAGGAAGATCTTTTGAAGTCTTCATTGTACGGCAGTTGAAGAAAATATACTGCTTAGTATATTTTAAGAATTATCTCAGTCATGATAAAGGTGTGTTTGAGGAAATGATGACAAAAGCGATGAATCATGAAAGTGAAGAGAAAGTCTGAATCTGGAAACTACTATAGTCCGTTGGTAACCGTCAGTCCCCAGTGAATGGAAGGCATCGTGCAGTTCCAAGTAAACGCTGACGTAGCAACTCCAAGAATAAAAGCAAGGAATGTAAATACAAACAATGCAGAAATATTTTTGCATAAGAAAATGTTTCCGAAAGAAAATATAAACATATTGGTAACTCAGTGAAAGAGATAAATGGGACTAAGAAATTCAGATTTTCTTCCGATTGAATTTTCCTAAACGATCGAATTCAGAAGAAGTCAATAAAAGCCTAGCACTAGCGGATACAATTATCAAAGAAGGATACACTGTCGATCGCTGCCGTTGGGGCCTCAATCGGTCATGCTCTAGAGAATTCATTTTGGAGGCCAAATGTATACAAATGCAAAATCACCAGTAGACACTTACATTTCAAAATAATATTTTTCGGGGAGGGAGTTATTATTCCCCTCCTGTTCCTATTTGACAACGTACATAAAGAGAAGCACGATTTTTTCTCAACGAAGACAGAATTCTCGAAAAATAGCGGAAGCACAACTTTTTAAATCTTGGAGCGCAAAACTTATGAATTTCCATCAGTATTTTGATATCGGCAAAATCATCAGACTAGCAAAAACATTATTATATTGCTTGCAATTTTGCACTGCATTAAGAAATCGAATGATAAAACGTGTCGTACGCCTGAACGCTAGAATGAACCAACGCTGTGATGACCTAAACGCAGAGGTGACCCAAAGATCGCTATGATCGCCTTAATGGAACGATGCCCAACAGGCAATAGCTTGCTGTTGAAAAAAATACAAGTAAGATTATAGTTTTTGTCATATTTAAAATACATAACATCAACATTTAGTGTTTTTTTATTTGGCCCATAGTAGTTGGTGTTCTATCAAAATCAGTCAAAATTTATACGGGCCATATCGAATCTTTTTGAACGCAACCTCACAACTGATTAGATTAAGACGAGTCGTTTCATCTGTGGAAGACGACAGCTATGCAAAAAGAAATTGTTATATCTCTTTCAAAAGAAATAAACATATTCCTCAAGAATATTTTCTTGTTTACTGAATCTAAACTGGAAAATAATTTCCTGGATTCTTATTTGAAAATATATTAACCGGTTAGAAATTTTGAGATCATTTAATGTAACTACTGATAATGCATTACGTCTAAAGAAATTGTAAGAAGATATTTCTTAAGCAAGTTAAAAAGCCACTTGATGTTTGAAGACCAAAATACGAGGAATACAAATTTTTCAAAATTCCTTGTACAATTTTCCAAAATTGTACTTGCAGAACCGATTACGATTACTCTTACTCATTGTGTGGGTACCATCCGCGAGAGCACTTCCTTCGTGAGAGGGCAAAGATCCCCAGAAGCAGATGCAACGACAGTCTGAAGAGGCGCTCAACAATAACAACAAAAAGCCATCGGCGGCGCCGGCCAACGCTTTCTCCGCGCGCGGGCGTCGAGACCCCAGCGCGCGGCGCCGCCTCCACCCGCGCTTTCCTCTCGCGGCGGCGGCGGCGGCGCTGGCCTCGTTGGCAGCCAATGGCCGCGCGGGGCCTACATCCGCCAGGGCTACTAGGGAGAGCGGCGCGGCGCCCGCGCCAGTGCAGTCCCGGCCCCCGGACCGCACGCTCGCTCTCCTGCGCCTCCAGCTCCAGACGGCCACCGCCGCCCCCGCCGCCGCCATGGAGAAGCAGGAGCCGCAGCCCGACTCCCTGGCCACGGTGGCTGTCAAGCCCGACTACCCGCCCTCGGAGGTGTACGGCTCCGAGCCGCCCCCGGTACGTACGCAACCCGGCAACGAACCCATTTCATATGGCACTTCTCAAACATTGACACAACACGCTAATTCACATCTTCGAAATACGTTTCAAAATTTTCAACACATTTCTACTAAACACATTTGAAAAGCAACTCCTAAAATCGGAAGTGTATATCCGCAAATATTTCCGCGAAGCTTCACACACTACGTCATTGATACTTTTGATTAATTTTCCAGAAGATCACCAAAAAACAATATACAATTGTAATTTTGTTTGAGGTCTCTTGAGTAAGGGAAAGAGTTCCCCCATTTCCATACAATTTATGTAGAGTTAATAATCAGTATAAAAATACGATAATCAAATCAGAAACACTTTAACAATTTGGGTCTGACAAATCCATCTTTGTTTGGAAGACCTTCGTGTACGAGTATTTATAAAATGCTACCTAGAGACAGAAAGAACACGAATGTCGATGAAAGTCAATTTAAAACTCTTCGTAAACAAAGAGGACCAATCTTTAAAACACTACTAAATTATAATTCCTGAAATTTCCTAGAAATAATAATTTTTTTTGAAGAAACGTACGCTGTAATTTTAATTTTATTATATACTATATGTAAATATATTATTGTGAAAATATAAATAATATTACGGAATGCTAAATTGCTATTTAAAATAACGTAACAAGAACAATCGTCTATGAGTGCGATACTTTTGTATTTTAAGTGTCTTCAAATTATTACAACTAAAGTTCAATTTAATGTAGTGTAAAAATGTGTGTTAATTACTGTATTTTCAAATTGATCACGTTTATGTAAAAGGCAACACCAAATAATCAAGTTTTCACTCTTTATTCTAAAAAATTCTTAGGAACATGAAAAAAATTGATTTAGTTGAAAAGAAATTAAAGTAGGATTGCTTACATCTTCATTTTAACCTGCTTAAATACCGATTTCTGCTTTCGACTCGGTACTACATGCGCCGAAGTAGAAATCCTTCGCTAGAGCAAACGCTCCCCGGTAAAGCGACAGCCAGGCAGGCTCGGCGAGGAGCACGCAAAACGCGACCGGGGAGTGTGGCCAGATCGTGGGAGGCGGGGGCTCAGCGCGAATTTGCATCGGCGTTCGCTCGTCATCAAGAGGTTTTTCGTGCGTCGTGGGCGGGCGCTGGGGGCGGGTGCCGGGGGCGGGCGTCGATATCGCGGGAAAACGTTGCATCTGCCGTTCACACCGCGCGACGAACATCGGATGGTGGCCGGCAGAGGCGTGAGAAATTACGGCCCTTTCTCGACGCCCCTGCTCGCGTAAAAAGATCTCTTTCCGTCTCTCTCTTCCGCGTTGAAACCGACGAGGTGTATTGCAACTTTCTCCCGTGCTAGCGGTTACTACCGGTAGTTTTTCACTGTGCAGAACTGCGTTAGCAACGATTGTGAAGCTCTACGCGCTTTTGGCTAGGTAGATCAACATCTCGCGAAAATAAAATAAGCATTATTTTCAAAATTCTTATTTACAGAGCACCGCCATTACGAACTTTCCCTTCATTCTTATTAATATTTTCTAATATTTCTATTCGCAATTTTTTATGTTTTCTCATGCCCCTCTCAACGGAGTATCATTCCCTTTGAAATGGAGACAGGAAAATATATTCTAAGTTAACAGATTTACGATAAACCTTTCGAGGCAATATTTACGACTCTTTAATTACGTTTATCGATAACCGATTGGACTAAGAGAGTAACCCTCAATTTAAGCGCTTCTTTAACCCAATCAATAAGTCACAAACATTAAAAAAATACCCGAAGAAAATCATTGGTAGCTGTTAATGTCATATGAAGAATTAACTTCATATAGTTGCCTTGCATTACAACCAACATTTCCAAAACAATATTTGATGCTAGAAAACGATAATTTTTAATCTTTCTGAAAATACTATTGAGAAGGATTTGGAAAGCCTCTTATACATGAAACCAGCGATTTTTCAAATAATTCAAATTATTCAATAAATTAGTGTTCAGCCATAAGCTTTTAAAAATATCCCGATGCTGTTTTGGTCACCTAAATAATTCACTTCACAACATTATATTTTTTCCTAAGAAGCAATTCTTTTAATCTTTCCGAAAGAACTATTTAGAAGGATTATGAACACCTCGTCTTCCCAAAGGAGCCATTGAAAAAGATTCCGAACGCCTCTTCAACAAGAAACAAGCCGGAACGCAAGCAATTCCGAAGCTACCGGTCGCCCCCCCGGCAGTGTTACGTACATAAGCTTCCCGGGGGAGTTCGTGCGCCACCGTCCTACATATTAATGAGGATGGGGCTGCCTGCGCCGGAGACTTTCCACGGCGGTTTCCGTGCGGCGGCGCCGCAGCCGTCGACGCTGGCAGGGGGGGGGGGGGGAGGGGGGAGCGTGGCGACGTTAAGCTTTCTGGCGCTCCCGCGCGTCGGGCACGCCTTCCGCCCCCGCGCGCGCCCCTCTCCGAATCGCGGCCCGCGAGGCAACGCGATTTTCACGGGGTGAGACTATCAGACACGAAAGTGCGCGGCCATTGTTGAGGTTTCACGCCCAGTGCATATTTCACACTCGGCGACAGAGAGCGTTGATGGGAAAAGTAATGTAAGAGTATGTCGTGACATGTGCTAATAGATAAGGTAAACGGAATCTTTGTCTCGTCAGATAAATTCATCTTGTCAGGAGACGCTAGAAAGTCCCACTCTGCAAATTACAACCGTTCATGCTTATGAATGGTTGAAGGATTTATTTCCTAAGAATTGCATTTCATTAATACTGTATCCGACAAGCATTTTCTCTGATCGTATTCCCATTTTACAAAACAAATGCCGACAATGTCCTCTTGTTTTTTGATCAGGCTCTCTCAGAGTGTTGCATTATTTGTTGTCAGAGGTATTTGATTTAAGCTCTAAAACTTGCTTCAATCAAGGTATTGTTGGTAATGACATTTTAAATTGTGTCTGAAACTAATACTTCAAAAAGGTAAACATATTTTAGTTTATTCTAAGACCTTAAAAATCTATTTTTGTATTGAGACATATCAAAATTGTTCGCATATATTACTAATAGAAATGCCATCTTTTCGTAAAAGTAACTTTCAAAATAATACAGAAGAACAAAACCTTTAATGAATAAATTAATGGCGTAACTATAACATTGTTAAGTACACGGAGACCCCTTCGCCGCGAGTCAGCAACGTGTCTGTCGCGGGGCTGGCACCACTTGCCAGCGAGCGCGGAGAGAGAGACCAGAGTCGCGGTAGAGGGCGCTTGTCGAGCAGGTGCGGAGGTTCGTGGCGCCCCGCGCATCGGAGTCTCCGGGGACCTGAACGCTCCGTGAGTCAGCGCGCGCGCGGCGGGCCCGAGCCGTGGGGCGAGCCGTGGGCGCCCGCGCCGATCGAAAGTCGTCGGCCTTCACCCGGCGACGGGCGCAGCGCCACGCGCCTCCTCCTCGGACTACCAAAGGTCGCAGCGGGCAAACCGAAAAACGGACCAGCCAAGGATGGAGCACTGCCGACATTCTCAATGGCTTCAATACGGTGTGTGGCTGAGCAAGATTAAAAACACGGGACTGGATGTAGCAATAGATTCTAAAGATCAGCTGTTTTTAACCCTCCCACCGAACGCCACAAACAGAACAGTACGAGAAAAGTTGTGATGTGCCAAAAAATATCTTTAAAAGAATACCTGCCGTGAATCTATTTTTGATCCTTCAACTAATTGTATGCAATAGTTTACCTACATACTACGTAGTTGGAAAATTCAAGTGACAAACGTATTTTGTTTTACAAATTAGTACACTTTTTCGAGTATTCGATATTTAAAAATATTACATCTTGCCAAAACGCATGCCTATCAACACGTATCCAAAAAATTAAATGCCAACAATCTTGGATTATGGTACCGAATATCAGGCAATCGTTTCACGCCCCAGCCCCGACGGCCACTCGCGTGACTCTTGCGCAGCCGCAGACGCCGTTCGATTCCGAGCAGCCGGCGCTCTCCGCCGCCTCCGCTTCTTCAACTGCTCTCTGTGCCCGGGCAGCGCCTTCCCACCGCTGCGAGAGGCTGCCGGTGCCAGGCGATTCGTGGCTGTCTGTCACGCGGGCGATTATTTTGATAAACCGCGCACCGTGTGTTCTAACGGGACCCCCTCCCCACCGTTTAGGCAAACGGGCGCTTGTTCTCATAAATTCTCGATCGTGAACGTGAAAATAAATACGGTCCACGAAGTATATACACGCCTTTCCAAAGGAAGTGGAGGCTGGGCACTGAGAGTACATTGGGAGCACGAAAACCTTCTGCCCAAGAGCACCATGTTCTCCTCTACGAGAAATACGTGACCTACGGGGGGGGGAGTGTGCATGAGCGAGTGTTAATGATGAATAAGAATCTCTAGTTCGTTAAGACTAAAGTACATGTGAAAAGTTACTCGTAGATGTAGTAAAACGTTGATTTAAAAAATAACAATTAAATGCAGGGAAGCAAACAAAAGGTATATTCTATTACATCATAATTCACCCCCCCCGAAATTTTTGACTGGTATGAAACGTGATTCAGACAACATTCTCAAAGTTCCCCTAACATGACATCAAAAACGATGGCAGTATATCAGCCACTGTCTCTATATTTTTGAATAACAATAGGCTGAAAACATTGCCAGATGTAACTTTTGTTGTTTGAGACACTGAAAACACCTAAAAGTTATTATTAGATTATATCAAGTTCGGGAAAACTGTTTAGAACTTAAAGAACATTTTATAACAATTTCTTTAAAAATGTTGATCAATCAACATTAGAAGCATGTCTGAAGTGTAAGGTAAAATACAGATAAAATTATCGTTCACGCCTCTCTTCAGTCCGCATTAACACTTTTGAAAGCAATCTCTCTTCTATGTTTGTTGGGCAGCGTTTCTTGGTATTTAAATATTTACTTGCTACTACTGGTACCAGGCGACTGCCGCAGCAATCCACAGTGAATGTGCTGTAGAAGATGATTGCGTCAGGAGT